ATTTTCCACTACGGCCGCAAAAACTGGTTTTGTTGCGAATAAAATGTATGTACGCAAAAAGCCCTCAAATTGGAAATGATTTACGACGAATGCGGGGTTAATTATAGCAGTTTCAATGTTTGAATACTTTCGCGTATACGCACTTGTGATGATCCAAGTATTAAGAGAAAAGTTACAATCTAATTTATTGCCATTAATTCCGCCAATATTGTCATAAAATAGCGGAAGCCTTAACTTGTCAGTACCGGTACGGTAATAAAGCAAGAAATTCCAGTTAGAACATTCGGCTATAATAAAATAGCATTAATATCGATTTTCCGGAAGTTGTGGATTTTCAAACAAGGTGGTCATCATTGCATTTTCTCACACAAAATTTCATGAAATTAATGAAAAAAACCCGACAATTATTACCAAGGACTGCAACAGAGATTTGACAAGTCAAGTCTACAGGGAAAAATAGATTCAATTATAAAGGAAACTTAAACTTTCAAAAATATTCATTATCCTCTGTTCCCTTAACGCCTGTTGGACTCAATTTACTCTTCCAGGGCTGGAATGCTGAATTTTTCACCCTATAGATTGGCCCAGTTAATACCGGCGAAAAAGTCGACACATTATCAATATTAATTTGCTAAAAACTATTTGAATAAGGCTAATGCGGATATAACATTGAATACCCACGCCCGGAGCGACTTCCTATATATTCCTAGAATGCTTCTAGGTGCATTCTAGTGTACCGCGGCTTCTGAAAGCTTTATATAAATTTTCGATTCTTCCAGCTAAATCCAAATCGAAACGGTAAAAAATCTAGTGCTCATTGACAATTATTTGAAACTAACGCTTTTTCAGATGTTGCTGAGGCTTTTGGCAATTTGCATGCTTCTTTTCGTGTCAAGCGTACGCGCCAATGTGATCCGATGTGACCTGATAGTAAGTAAAACTCCTTAAAAAATCTGGCTCTTAAAACGCCCCCTTTCCTAAGGAGCCGCATAGTAGAGAAAGCGAGCTGTGCTGGAAACAGCTCCTCTACAAAAACTACCCCATGGTGCCGCAAATGGACGAAGACCAGAGCGATCCAGAGCTGCATGGGTTGCAGGCCAGAAACTCTGAGCTGAGCAGCGCTCTGATGCAACTCTACGGATTCAATCGACTGAACGGAAAACGAAATCCTGAATTTTCCAGGGATGTTGTGCGGCTCATTTCCGACATCAACCCCTATAAGGAAAATTAGAGCTTAGAGAGAGTTTGAAATGCAGTGGCAAATAAAGTAGTGTAGAACAAGCGAACATTAAATCATAGTTTTTCTGCGATTCCAATTCCCCTGGTTGTTTACGTTCAATTCAATCATCTTTTATTTTAAAGGGAAAATACGCATTTATATTAAGAAACTGGAGATATATTTAAGCTGCCAGTTTCAGGTCCCGGTTGATAACTTTAAGACAATTCTAATAACCGAGTAATAAGAATGTCCTGAACAGCTATTGCCGAATGGGGTGACAGTGGGTGAAATCTAGGTATTTATAGCAGGCCTCCAAATGGTAACCGGCAGTGTTTCGTTGGTTTATCGGCAATTTTAACGGCTGAAAAACTGTGCAAGCATAAGAAAAAATGTTGAAAACAACGCTCAGCTCTGTTTTATGCCTTATTGTTATCGCTAATCATTTCTCTAATGGATTTCCAACTGGAAATGACGAATACCGGTTTATAGAGCGAGATGTAAGTATGCAGAAATCCGTTTTCCATTGAACTTATTTATGATTTATATTTTTTTAGTATGCTAGTCCTGGCGCCCATCAACTAGCCAGCTGGTTGGCCTACCAGCTGCGCCCCAAAGAGTTCATTCCTCCAATGGAAGTTCCAGTCATTCCCTACCGCCTCCCTTTGCACAACGGCAAAAGAAACTCCGAAGTGACCAACGCCATGATCAATTCGGAGGAGACTCAAAAAATGTACCGAGATGGACGAAAGTAGAACTGATTAATTAAACCAGGAACTATTTGTTAGACTCGCTATTTAATATAGTATTATTAACACAAGCACAAGCATTTTTATACGTAGTTTTGGAGTAGAGCTGGAAAACTTTGACTGAAGACTCAAGCTCGCTTAATAAGCCTTCAAATTAAAGCTGGGGAATAATACTTTATAGTCCTATGAATATGTGCGCAATTTTGGGTTTGGTCGGGAAACAAAAACAACAAAACATTGCAATCGATTGGCGTGTAATAGCTGAAGAAATCCTCCCTAAATTTCATCGAGCCAATTTGCAAGATACTCGCAACTACTAGGATTAATCGAACCTGTTTTCCCGCATTGCTGCGCCAGCAAGCAAACTCCACAGGTGGTTTTCACTAAGCCCGGAACGGCTAGGAATTTATTAACAGCCTTGTAAAGGAATGTGCCATTTGCTGCGGCCACCCTTTCGGCGTTGTTGTCTAACACTACGGTATAGAGGATGCTCTCAATGTCCGCTATGCTTAATGAGACCTTGCTGATGCCCAGATCCGAGATGAACTTCTGGACTTCTGAGGAAGCTGCATAGGAGCGGTTGCGGACCATCAAAGGGCCTCCACCTGGAAATGATGCTGTGTTATCGCCTGTGGGTGCTCGTGAGGCTTTGAGGGTGAGTTACCCTGTTTGACTGCATCCTCTAGTCGCTGCACTAAATATCGGTGGCACTGCTGGTTTAAAACGTCGACAAACTCGCTTTCGAAATCCTGATCCTGATACCAAGCGCCTCCTGTTACTGAGCTGTCAGGGTCCAGGTCAAACAGCATGTAGACCTTTTTCTTGCTGGCTGCCACCGACTTCACAGCCTTTATTATCTTCTTGGCTTCAAGGCTTTTCAGCACCTTGTTTAATTGCGTGTTGTTTATATTGGATTTGAACCTGAAACAACCCAAAACAATGATGCGAACTACACACTCTCCACTTACTACCGCACCATTTCAGGCCTACCTAATATCCCTTATCCAAATGCCTTTGTTGCCCGCTTCTTCGATGATTTTGTAGACAACTTTCTCCTCATTGTCCGAGCCTTTATTCGCGGATTTTTTGGTGGGATCTTTGAATTTGTAGAACAACTCGCCCTTGTTGCCGAATAGCTCAAAAGTCCCGCTTTTCAGCAGAGCATTGATGGTTTGGGTTAGCTCAGAAAGGGGCACACCGGGCACACTTTCCTGTAGCTCTTTGTTGGGGATTCCGTCAGGTCGCGATTTCGCCAGCTCGATAATGCGGCCAGCCAGATCATCTTCTGTTTTGATTTGGGGCTGTGCAGAACCGCTGCTCATTAGGAACAATTAATTAAAAACTAAGGAAGGCTTAAACTAATCAATGTCAACAAATGCCCCGAAATGCGCTCTAACCTTAGAAAATTGTTGGAAGAAGCGGAAAATGCCCAGTGTTGCCAAACATGTGCTCAAGTATAACCACTCTTTCAGCGCCATAACCTGCAAAGCTTGACTTGGGGCCCCGGTTAACCGCAAATTGTGCTCAATTTTTCAAATAATTGCGATGGACCTTTAATATGTGTGTCTCAATTGAGTCTAGGTAAGGGGGAGTCGGCTTTTCAATGGGTCAAGTTGTGACTGGAGCGCTTGTGGCTTCTTTCTGCATCCTCAGGGCATTTTCTAGTTGGCTACCGGTGTTTTTCATGGGTTTAAGTGTAGTTTGCGTGTTAAAGACCTTCCAGACCTGCAAATTTGCGTAAATTACCACACTGGGTTCAAGAGCCAAAGCCAAACTTATTCCAATGTCTTCTGTAAAACCGATTAAATTCAATTTTAAATGAAAAGTGACGTTGAGTGTTGAGCCCCTTTTCACAAATTTACTAAACCTTCAGGGACAAAAGTAGTTAACAAGAGTTGTTGAATGTTTTTGCTTTCTTCTTTAATTAATTAAAATCTGTTCAATTCCAATTATTTTCCAGATCTCCGCTTAAGGGAAATTATGTGAAAACATTCTCTGTTTTCTTGCCTGTGACAGAAAATCAACTGCCAGCGATCAGAAAGGAAACTGGAGACTCACAAGGATCAGTTGCAGGTTTTAACTGGAAATTATCATGAATTGTCTGATTCCAGGCCCAAATGTAAAAGGTGTTTTTCCAGAAAATAGTGTGTTTTATACAAAGTTTCATTTAAAACCTACTTTCAGTGTTAGGTAGAGCAATTGTGGCCTTGGCCAAAGTTGGAGATGAGCTTTACATGGAGGCTAAACCAGATAAACTTTCCTTTTTAACGCTAAATCAGGCCAAGACGATCTGCGCCCAAATGCACCTGCTGGATAGTTTTTTCTCCTTATATGACATTGATCGCCCTAAGCAGCCCCGAAATGTTCCAATCTGTTGTAAAGTTCATGTGAAAACTATGCTGCAATTGTTGAAAGGGACCCAACTGGATAGGAAGGTAAGGATTGCGCTCATTTTCGTTTAGTTATCAGACCAGCAGAGCATTTTCAGTTGGAATCGCTGAAGATTGAGCTGAACCCCAACAGCGACTCAATACAGTTTAAGCTCAAGTATAAAGTAGATGATATTGTGTTGTCGCAAGTGTTGCACCTTATGGAGCCCGAAGTATTGCAGCTTGATGATTATTCCGGCCCCAAAAACAATAATATCTGTGCCGGAAATGAGTTTTACAACAATTTGCTAGTGCTTTTTAGCAATTCGGATGACGATATCACGCTGGAAATTTCAGAAACTAAGATGATTGCCAGAAACTACGTTAATGGTCGGTAATTAACGTTGATAATTGTATTGAATAATTCTATTGCTTCTTGGTAGGTGCCCCGCATAAGCCGAAATCCGTGCGAAGCCAAGTGACTCTCAACAGTTCAGAGTTTGTCCTATACCGGATAAGTGAGGCAACCACTATTAACTTCCCGTTAAAGCCCCTAAGGGCAGCCATAGCCTTTGCAGACGTTTTCAGCTTGAATGTTGGCCTGGACTTCGATAATGGCGGCAGGCAAGTGTTGGTCGGCTGAGGTTTGAGTGGGATCTAAAGGTGTTTGTTGCAGTCCTCTGTGCGTGACTTTGAAGAATCCGACGTTTGAAATGCTTTTTATCGTCTCCAGTTTCAATCCTTATGCGGATGGACAGTCCAGTACGGGAACAACTTCGCTGCCCACAAGGATGAATAGGGTCGCAAATTCGGATACTTTGCCGGCCAATAAGAGCGGAGCTCAACAAGACCTAACACAGGAGGATTTGTTGGCAATTGCCAATGAAGATTGGCAAGCCTTTGATGAGCGAACGAATAATTCCAAGGCAGCATTAAGAAGAATCAGCAAAGAACCGATCTTTAATGAAAGTCGCGAAGGAGGAAAGCGTATTTTATCCAGTGAATCCGATAAAAATGCGGCAGAGCGAATAAAGTTGGGGGAATATTTGTTTAAAGGCCCATTTGAATCGTCCTTTGAAGGCAATGTTCTGCTTTGGGAAACTGATTCGGAATAATTCCAGCAAGATCTGTTGTGGTCGTATGTTTCGTATAGTGAATAATTATTTATTTGAAACGTTTTGTTTTTGCCCATCCACATCATGTCCTTAAATCCTTGGTGGGTTTGATTGGTTGGAAAACTGCCACAATTTCTCAGATTTTGCTGTCGGAATTAAAAACAATGGAATTAATTTCGATCGGCTTTTTTTCCTATTTAGCATAAACACGCAGTCATTGGTATTTCGATGTCAAAGGTTTTTGGTCGCTTTCAATACGGTTTTTACTTAATTTGGTTTCGTGGCGCTGGAAAGACGGTTCGCAATTCTTTTTCCAAATCAATGTTAGGCCTGATTTCGGTGATTTGTCAGTGAATTGCTCAACAAAGGACCGAAAATGGCTTTGATACTTAAGCGTGTGTATGAGGGGTACTTTTGGTTAATGGACGATATCGCAGGTATTTAGCAATTTACATTGATAGAGTTACATTGATTTTTTAATGTATTCAGTTTGTGTGCATTTAAGATTAAGTAAAGTGGAATAATTAGACGGTTAGTTCCCCTGGGTTCTTTAGGAGGCGCTACACCATTCAACTGTTTAACGCTAAACCTTTCTTTAATTAAGTGGATGCTTCTTATAATTTATTAAATTGAAAACCAGTTTATCTTATTTGGTTCCACGATTAATTCTATAGCAGTTTTTGTAGCTTGGAAAGAACGCAAACCGCAGTATCAATCTGGTATTAAAACTGCGATTATAGTTCAAGCCCTTGAGACTCTGATTGGGCCATTTTGGAAATAAATTTTCGGCAGGATAAAAATGTAAATTTTAACTGATTTTCGACTGATTTTAAAACAATGGATCCATATGTCCTAACATCGGAGGTTATTCTAGGTCACTTTGGCGCCTTTGTACAAACCCTAATATTGAATGCTATTATTCAAATGGTCAATCTGTGCGGAATTGATTAATTATAAATTTTTTCGTTTCAGATCCACGTGCCCTGGATTATCCATTAATGTCTACGCCACTTCCTGTTATTTTCATAATTTATTTCTGGTTTAAATTCGTTCTTACCTGGGCGCCGAACTACATGAAAGACCGCCCCCCATTTGAACTGAAAAAAATCATTATGCTCTACAATATTATGCAAATTATCGCCAATGGATACATATTGTTTTTTGTGAGTATCTAAAAATTTCTTTAATACTCATGCATTGAGATTTCTTTAGAAAAA